CTGGTCAGGCTGGTCCAGGCTATTTGGAGTATTGTGTGCAAGTTTTGGGCCCCATATCTCAGGAAGGACGTACTGGCCCTGGAGCAGGTTCAGAGGAGTTTCAAGAGAATGGTCCCAGGAATGGAAAGCTTAACATATGAGGAAAGTTTGAGGACTCTGGGACTATACTCATTGGAGTTTAGATGGATGAGGGGGGATCTAACTGAAACTTACAGAATACTGAATGGCCTGGACAGAGTGGATGTTGGGAAGATGCTTCCATTGGTAGGAGAGACTAGGACCTGAGGGCACAGCCTTAGAGTAAAGGGAAGATGTTTTAGAATGGAGATAAGGAGAAACTTCTTCAGACAGAGGGTGGTGAATCTATGGAATTCACTGCCATAGAAGGCTGTGGAAGCCAGGTCTTTGAGTACATTTAAGACTGAGATAGATAGGTTCTTGATTATCAAGGGGATCAAGGGTTACGGGGAGAAAGCAGGAGAATGTGGGTGAGGAACTTATCTGCCATGATTGAATGGCAGAGTAGACTCGATGGGCAGAATGGTCTAATTTCTGCTCCTATACCTTATGGTCTTATGGTCATTTTGCAGAAAGACAATATTCGAAAATGCATACCAAATAAGTACAGATTTGTGTCAATATGGAGAAAATTAAATGCAAAAATAAAATTGCTGGAAACCTGAAATAAAAACGGAAAATGCTGGAAATGTTCAGTTGATCAGGCAGTATCTTTAAGGAATAAAGATAATGTTTCAGGTCAAAAACCTTTAATTAGATCCATGCCAGAGGAGTCAGGAGTCCTCAACATTGATTATCAACTTCAGTAAGTGTTATGATATCATGATAAACTTGGTCAAGGAAATAATTGAACAAGTTATTGCTTAGTAAATGTCATTTGATAATATTATCGATGGCACATACGTCATTTTGTTCATGATTGAAAGTAGGCCAATGGGTCAGTAAAGGCTAGATTGGATTTGTTCTACTTTTTGTGGATAGGGCATAACTGGGCAAATTTCAACATTGTTGGTGTTGTACCAGTACTGAATCAGCTTGGCTAGTGGCATGGCTACTTCTGGAGCTCATCTTTGGCACTACAGTGGTGATGTCAAAAACAATAGTCTTTGCTGTACCCAGTTGTTCCTTGATACTGTCCCAGGGCAAATTGAATTGGCTCAAGGCTGGAATCCATATTGCTGGGGACCTTAGGGTTATGGCAAGATGAATCATCCACTTGGCACACATGGTTGAAAGTTGCAAATGCTCATGGAGCTTCCTGCTGCCATGAATTTTTAATTATCAACCACTTTTCACAACTGGATGTGGCAGACCTGCAGTGCTTTGATCTGACGTTGATTGTGTGACTGCTTCAGTCTGAGTATATCATGGTGCTTTTATGTTCAATCGACGTGTAATTCTGTGTTGTAGCTTCACCAGGCTGTGATTCATTTTGAAAGGTTTAATTTGAATGCAGAGTACAAGGTTAATGGCAGGATTCTTGGCAGTATGGAGGAACCGAGGGATCTTGGGGTCCACGTCAGTAGATCCCCAATGTCGCTACCCAAGTTGATAGGGTTGTTAAGAAGGTGTATGGTGTGTTGGCTTTCATTGGCAGGGGAATTGAGTTTAAGAGTGGCATGGTTATGCTGCAGTTCTTTTAAACCCTGGTTAGACCACACTTGGAATATTGTGTTCAGTTCTGGTCGCCTCATTGTAGGAAGAATGTGGAAGCTTTAGAGAGGGTGCAAAGGAGATTTACCAGGATGCTGCCTGGATTGGAGAGCAAGTCTTATGAGGAAAGGTTGAGGGAGCTAGGGCTTTTCTCATTGGAATGAAGAAGGGTGAGAGGTGACTTGATAGAGGTGTACAAGATGACGAGAGTGGTAGATAGAGTGGATAGCCAGAGACATTGTCCCCAGGGTGGAAATGACCATTACGAGGGGGCATAATTTTAAGGTGATTGGAGGAAGGTATAGGGGAGATGTCAGAGGTAGATTCTTTACACAGAGAGTGGTGGGCGTGTGGAATGCGCTGCTGGTAGTGGTAGTGGAGTCAGATACATTAGGGACATTTAAGCGACTCTTGGATAGGCGCATGGATGATAGTAAAATGTAGGGTATGCAGGGTAGATTGATCTTAGAGTAGGATAATAGGACGGCACAACATCGTGGGCTGAAGGGCCTGTACTGTGCTGTACTGTTCTATGTTCTATGTTCAGGTTGGTACAATGGTCTTAAATGTATCAAGGCTGAGATTGATGGATTTTCAATCAGTCAGAGAATCAAGGGGCAAAGGCAGGAAACTGGATTTGAGGATAATCAGATCAGCCATATTCCCACTGACTGAATGGTTGAACAGACTTAATGGGCTGAACACCCATTTCCGGTCCTCCATCTTCTGGTCTAATTCTTAAGTATGCCTGGTTCTGAATCAGGATACAACCCTACATGACTCATTGAACCAGTGTTGGAATACTGGCCTGATAGTAATGTTAGAGCAAGATATACACAAGTCCATGAAGTTACAGAATATAATTTTGTTGCTGGGAATGGCCCACTTCATAAGTGCCCAGTTTAGAGTTATTGGGTCAGCTCTAAATTTATCCAGTTTGTTTCTTTACCCAGTGCCATGAAACTTTATAGGGTCTGCAACGTTGACAGCTCCCAGGGGTGGCTCCTTCATATTTTGTAATATCATTCACCACTGTTGGTGGAATGAGGATAGGGAAGTGTGGAACATTATTTGTAAGATACACATATAACAATCTCATTCTGCTGATCAACCAGTCTTGGGGTCAATCCCTCCAATTTTGTGGGGGGGGGGGGGGGGGGGAGTGATAAAGGTCATTGACCTGAAACATCAACACTTTCCTCCACAAATGCTGCCTGATCCACAGAACAATTTCACATTTCCAGCAGTATTTTACCTTTGTTTTCTCTACAATTAGATTTTTTTTTTGTAAAAAAATGTTGGTATGGGATTTTGTGTGAAAGTAGGATCACACTTTCAGTGCTAGATGCTGCACAAAACTGTTTGATGAAAATGAACTTCCAACACTGACTAGACTTGAATCTGAAACAAAAGCAGTTCTAGTGATAAAGTAATTATTGAGGGTGAGGCCAGTAATGTTTTACTCAAATTGGACAAGGTTCAGAAGAGATTTACCAGGAATGGAGGATTTGAGTTATGGGGACAGGCTGGAAGAGCTAGGAAAGCACCCCCCCCCCCCAACCCAAACACCACCAGAGTATAGGAGATTGTGGGGTGACCTTATAGAGGTTTATTAAATCATGAGGGATATAGATAAGGTGAATGGTGGGTGTCTTTTCCCTAGGGTGGGGTTTTCAAGACTAGAGGGCATATTTTTAAGGCGAGAGGAGAGAGATTTTAAAAGGATATGAAGCAATTTTTATTTTAAACACAGCATGGTTCATGTGTGGAATGAACTTGCAGAGGAAGTTGTGGATATGGGTACAGTTACAACATTTAAAAGACATTTAGACAAGTACATGAATATGAAAGATTTGGAGGGATATGGGCCAAATGCAGGCAGGTGGGATTAATTTAATTCAGTTCATGATCAGTGTGGACTGGTTGGACTGAAGGGCATTTCCATGCTGTATGACTAACCTTTTAAAAAAAAACTTCAATATTGATATGAACCATCATTAATTATAGAACTGTGGAGAGACACATTGTTCATAAGATTAGGAGGCTTTTAAATTCAGCCAGACAGCTTAGCATTCTAAATTATGATTGCAGCAAAACATATGTGTTTGAAATATGTTTCAATAGATGCTGCTCTCTCATGCAGAAGTGTTTCTGCCCAGAATTCTCATCTATCCTGTGAGAATCGTTGAAGACAAATTGCAGAAAGATTGGTTTCAAGTGCTTTGAGAACTATTATTTTCACTGTGATGACGTCCATTATTGCAGAGAGAGTGAATGTGATTTCAGTCTTGCAAGGAATTGCATTCTTCCTTTTTGGACTGTAAACTGGAAAGGAAGACAGAGTCACAGCTGTATAGCTTTTTAAAAGAAACCGATATGTTTTGCAGCTTGAAAAATCAAGTGGGATGGTGTGGTACTCTTAACTAGATGAGACTGTTGGTTTTGGAGCAGTGAGATGGTCACATTGTAGAGACACTGCAGTGTCAGAAGTCTGAGGCAAGGGCAGAATTCCTGACGGCAGTCCTCAGACGGGTCAGTTTTCTAGCAGTTTGCTAGAATGGTGGGAGCTGGGCGAGCAGAAGCATCCTGAGCCAGCAAGCAGGCAAAAGAAAAAAAAAATCTTAGAACTCTAACACAAAAAAAAAGACCTGGGTCCATCTGATCAACAACTGAATCGAAAATAACCACTCTTTAGCAATGATGATACTGTTGGCTAATATCAAAAAGAACTGCAAAACAGCTTAAATCCCCGACTGATCTTTAGAATTTTGTTTTCATTTATATTTTTCCACCTATGTGTCAAATCATCTGTCTTTTCCATAAATTAGTGTTAATTTGCAGTTTTAATCATATAGTAGTGAGTTGGTTATCCTCAGTTTACTGTCTGACATCTGTCAAAGACAATGTTTTTGCAGTACTAGTTATTTTTCCTGTTAAGGATGAAACCTGGTGTGGGAATTGCTTTTGTCCTGAATAGGAGTCAGGGGCAAATTGATTATCTTTGTGCTTTAAATTAGGTATTTACAGATTTGTGATGGCTTATGGAACAGTGGACCCCTTATTTTTTCAAACCCATTTTTCTAAATCAAACTGTTCAGAGATGTTATTATACGTTTCTGGAGCAGGTGGAACTTGAACCCACGTCTCTCAGTTCAAGGGGAGGGACACTACACCACAAGAGCATCCCTGGGCCTCTATTATTGGTGCACTCTTTCCAAGAAAGCTGTGAGATTCTCCTAAAAGGCAAGTGTCACATAACCAAACAGAGATTTGAAGGAATGGGTCATCTTAAATGAACAAAACTTTGACATAAAATATGTTGAAATTGTCTTAGTTTATTATACCACTCATATACAGGAAAACACATCATTTATGAGAAATGGATTTTTGAAAATACAAGTGCAAAAAGATTATACACAAATTTGTGTCAGTCATTTTCTCCTAGCACAAATATCAGGGCCTCAATTTATAACACATTTGTTCACAATATTTAATAACTTGCAACTTTTTTTAAAGTGCATTTTTTTTCTGCAGAAAGTGGCTTAAGAGGGAACATTAGATATTGGAGAATAGTCCATGTAAAATACTCTTCCACTTTTCACCCTTACCACCCGACCAGAACTAAAATTAAATTGCAATATGTCTCAGTCGGTGATACAACCAGCAAGAGTAGAATGTCTATGAAGATCATTGGTATTTAACAATAGGGATTCAAATTGGCACACAGTTCTATATATGATCACAAACCTTTGATTGGATTGTGGCAATCTTGTCACTGCCTGTCTGAACAATTATAATGACACAGTTAACCCTTTGTCTTGGGAACAGTATTATATAACCCCGCAAGGCTTTAACATCTTACTCCCATTTTGTTCTTCAGTTTGTAACTGGGAAAATGTGGATTGATTTCTTCAATTCTAAAGTACAATTAATCACTACTACTTTGGCTCCTCTTCCTGCAAAAAAAAACTCTGGTGCCTAAAGGCAAGACTGAAAATACATTTGCTTTGTGGCTTCATATAATATGTTGACAGCACTGTGCTACTTACAAATCACCATCATTAAAGCCAGGTATTATGTAAAAATAGGTTCCCTAGCCTGGTTGCTCAAGATTATCCACTTATTCACCAATCTATACATAACTGCTATCATAGTGAGTTGAATGCTGATCCGGTACAGGAATGCCTTTTTTTTGGGGGGGCGGGGGGGTGCCGGGAAGAGGTGTAGGTGGAGAAAGAGGTTTATTATGGGCTTCCATTTTGCACTGTAAACAGCATCCAGGACGAAAAAGGATTCCAATCCTTAAGCACAACGATAGCAGCTAGCCACAGATTGGATCACAAAGATACCTGATGTGGAATGTTCTTGTGCAGTTCCTGGACTCAAGTGAAGAGAAAATACTCCCTGGTGAAAACATTTTTAAAAAAGGGATTGCCAAAATAAGATGATTGAAAACTTGTAAAACATTCTATGACAATAGTGTGAAAATGATGGCTACATTCAGTATCAGTTAGTCATGGAGGCCTCTTGGTAATTTTATTTCACACAACAGGCACACACAAAAAAAAACAACTGGCTGTTCAGCTTTACTGGTGATAAAAATTTATCCATTTGTACTAGATTGTCAGTCTACAGATATCAAGTACAGTGGTGTTAAACTGTCTATTTTGGACTTAACTTTGGGGAAGATCAGTTCCTTAAAAAAAAAAAAAAAATGGTATTTCCAGTTCTGTACGGGAAATGAGTTGTTGCAAAATCAGGTCATACTTTGAAGAAGTCATACACAGCAAAACGTGACCCAAATAGTTTAGGGAAATGCATACAAAACACAACAGTTTGAGCAATGCAATGAAGCCCTGTGCAAACTTCATTCGCATTGATACTGTTGGGCAAAAATCACGTTCTACCAAACAATTGTGTGAATGGAGGGGGGAGAAGTCAGTTTAAAGTACAGAAATAAACATCAAAATTCAGATTATTTTTCTTCCCAAATGTACCACGTAATGCGGATATCATTTGTAACCTAGCAAAGGACAAGGCTCGAGTCATGGAGTCAACATCCATTGGAAGTATAGGAACCAACAAAATAACAAAATATTTTTCACACAAAACACTAATGCAACAAACCAACATCCATAAAACAGACTCTCTTGAAATCATGCTGCGGAAATATTAGCTTCCAAATATTTAATATGTACAAATAAAATTCCCTTATTCTGCCTTTTTAAAGGGGGATCCCATTTTAAACAGTTAAACATCCCCATTAAAATGGTGGATAAAGCAATTTCATAAATATTTGTAGTCAAAATTTGCAAAGCAGAATTTCAAGGTTACTTTGTTCAATAACACAAAGGGGCCTACTTGGTAGTTGAGAAACTTGGGTTTTTTTTTAAAAACTGACTTCTTCCCCAGAGTAACATTCCTTTTAAAAGGAATATCCACCTTTTCTGAAAAGTGGTTGGTAAACTTAGTTTAAACTATGTTGCCCTTTAACTGCAAAAATAACAAGCCTAGGATGCTTTGAGACAGGCCCTTGCAATTGACAAATCCATTCAGTCTAGTTTACACATTAATGTGTTCACAAGAAAATGTTTTAAAAAGTGCACATGAGGACATCATATGGTCCTAGAATATTTGCAAAATACAATTATGTTGCATTTTATAGCATTTACATATTGGGTTTCCTTAAAATATATTTAAAGGTCTTAAAAAGTCTGATTAAGACTTTTTTTTCACATAAACAAGGCTGAAAGGATCCTATACACTTTTACAAGTGCAAAGTTTGAAAGTGCAGTCCCTTTCACGCTTAATATTTTATAGGCAAGACAAGAAATTAACTTGGAATTTTGCCAAGATGAATGCAAACTTGAATAGTATTTTTAAACCAATATTTGTTTTCTAAGAAAAATGTTAGATATGGATTCTTTTAGAGAATGTGGCAAGTTTCAGGGGAGGGGTAAAAGTTACATTTCAACTTCCATAAATAGTCAGAAAATAAATTAAGCTATGAAAAGCACACCTAACATCTCACTTAACACAAGTTTGCACAACAATTCAGCAATAGAAAGACTTAACATGACTTTTTTTTTTAAGTTTAGCATTGAAGAATTTAAGTGGTATAATATTTACCAATGGTGTTAACAAGTGTCAAATAAACCTTCATCTCTGAACCCTGATATGAACCTCCATATTGAAGAAGAAAATTAAACACAGCAGGGACAAGATATTAGCACCATGGCAACATTTTAGCATTCAATAATTTTAAAGGTAATCTAAGCAGTGATAATTGGCTCAGATTTTAATTTTTTTTGTTGGGTAGGAGAACAATTTTTTTTTAACCTTCCTATTTTATCAAATTTCACGTTGTCTTCCCCCCCACCAAAAAAATGCACTTTTTCACATAAGCAGGGCAGAATACCAAAACTGAAATTTAAATAAATACCGTCTGCTTCACACCACTGCATAAAATGTTTTCTTAACATTACAACATGCAAAAAAACTTTTTAAACAAAGGGTCTAAAGCTTCTACACAAAGTAAAAAAATAAAACCTTGCCTTAAGTCCTAACAATACAAAACCATTAGAAGGGTAAGTAGCTCAGACTTAATGAAAAATCCTCATGATTTATGAACATTTAATCTAATTGTTATTTTCAGTTGATAACACAGTAACCTTCCCTAATGCAAAAAGTAACCAATACCTCTGCTAAAAGGAAGTGTTATTAATGGTATCACTGTGAGGCAACAATACCTGAGTAGTTTCACACTTATTGCTAGATACTTCAAAAAAACGAGTGGACGTTCCAGACGTCATTACTCTGTTCAGCTTTTCTTTTTTTAAAAAAGGGTAAGTGGAGGCTGGCATTACATGTATGCTTTTTAAAATTGAAATCGACTCATTCCCAGAAGATTTCCACCGTAATGCCCAACACATCGCTTAGCTTGCTGGCTGCTGGAAAGCAAGCAGTAGTTCTTTCCGTGCACGAATCCTTATACACTTTGGACATTGTTCAGTTTTGAAGCACTCTTTATGAAAGCACGCTTTGCATTCTGGTGTTTGGAGTTTAAAAAGAAGTGTTACTTCACTGATCAATTCAAAAGCGCAAATATTGACAAGGAGAATTTAAACAATTTTATTATCTGTCATTCAAATGGAGGGGTTTGGGGGAAGGGAAAGTGACTTTATTTTGCTCCACTGTCACAGTAGGATTCTGTATAGCACTTTTTCAAAAGAATTAAGAAAATGTTTGTACTGTAAAGACCACGCCTTCCCATTTTTCTTTATTTTAGACCGTGGACCAAAATGGGAATTGGATTGCTTTAAACCAAAGACGGTGTAAGGGATTGATGCACCTTATTTTTAAAAAAATTACAAACTCATTGCGAGTTTGCTTACACTGTTGCTTTGTTAAAGCAGTGCAGAAGCGACCAAAGATGCCACAGCATTGGGGTGGGAGACAGGGTGTGTATGAGGGGGGTAGCTGTGTATCCAGAATGAGCTCATGTTGCGACAGGCTGCTGGTCACAGATGTCAAAAGTGATCAAGTTGTCATACGATGACAAGCTATTCACCTGCCTTGGGAGTGAGAGTTACGCATTTATGATGCAAATGGAGAAGAGTCCAAACTGAAGAAGAAAAAAAGTTAAATCCCTTTTCTCAGCAGCGAAGACACCAAGGCCTGTAAGACAGCTAGATAATTCTCTTCCACAATTGCTGTAAACTGTTGCATCTACTATCTCTGATTCAGATTCTCCAGCATCTGCAGTTCCTACTATCTCTGATTCAGATTCTCCAGCATCTGCAGTTCCTACTATCTCTGTTGCATCTAACGGACTGGAAAGATTTTACAATTATGTGCCAAACAATTCTCTGTGAGAGAGACAGGATGTAAGAGTCTGAAGATCAGAGGTGGTCTTGGGAAGCAAAAAAGAAGACAACCCACTGAATCCTGTTTGAATTGAATCATCCCATTCAACCTAATGGATGGCATTTCCCCAGCATCTTTTCCTCCGCTCATAACATCCATGTTTGTCTGTGTAAGGGTTTAAGGGAGGGCATTACAGATGCACTTAACAGTTATATGTTGACAGTTTACATTTACAGTCATTAGAACTGATTTATTTGTATTAAGTAACAGTTCTTGTCAAGTACTGGTCAATGTTTCCTGTTAAACTGAGTCCAAGTCCATCAGAAAGGTCTTTTAAAAAAAAAAAAATGGGGATTTTATCATAGAATCCCTACAGTGTAGAGAGGCCAAATGGCCTGTTTTGACTTCACACTGACCCTCCAAAGCATCCAACCCAGACCCACACCCCGTACCCTCTCTCAGTAACCTCACGTTTCCCATAGCTAACCTGCCTAGCCTGCACAGTTTACAATGGCAAATCCACCTAAGCTACACATCTTTGGACTGTGGGAAGAAACTGGAGCACCTGGGAGGAAACCCATGCAGACGCAGGGACAATGTCTCTACGGAGTTTGCATAGTCGCCGGAGGGTGGAATCGAACCCGGGTCCCTAGCACTGTGAAGCAGCAGCGCTAACCACTGAGCCACCGTGCCACCATTGATTTACGTTCTTTGAGAACATCAGGAGTAGTGGGACTGGTGTATCAATGCACTTTCCCAAGTACATTGTGAAAGGTGCCTTTCAAAAACAAGGAAAAAAATAGACGAAGCCAAAAAGGAGACAATAGGTGACCAAAAGCTTACACATTAAGCAAAAGGATAGGCGTGAGGTGAGAGCCAAAAAAATCCCAAAGCTGGTATTAAATCAATTAAAAAGATTCATGTAAATGAGGATATGGACAAACATAATTGTAGTGGAATACGTTTCAGCTTTCTGAAGAGTCAGAGGGCCAAAGATACTAGCTCCATTGAGAAAATGCTCAACAGCTGGTTAGAAGGACTTTCAAGGCAAGAATAAACTGGATAGCAATTGGTGAGCTGTTTTTGGTGTCACTTGAGACTTGTGTTCATATAGAAATGCTTGGATGTCTGTAATGTATAGCTTGAACATCCATCAGAAGTAATTATATGGTGTAATGCTGTTATCAGACTATAGCTCAGTCATGCCCTGATTAAGACTTTGAAACACTGGAGACAGTACAGAACAGCCAGGAAGCTCAGCAGAAAGAGGTCTTTGAGGGACTGGAAAGATGATCTTACACAAGACAAGTGATGTTTGAGCGATGAATCTAGACTATTTTGAACAAGAGTGAATAGGTTAAGAAGTCATGATGGGACCAATAAAACTAAATTGCCTGTCTGAAGAAGAAATCAACAATCAAGAATGGATTTTTTTTTTTAGTATTCCTTTCTCCTGGACTGGAAAATCTGTTTTTTGCGAATGGTGTTTATAGGATGTTGCAATATTGGAATGGATGATGATTAGTAGTTGAAATATGTTTTATTAAATATTTCAGTAGAGTTAAAATCATGCCAATTCTTCTTTGTTTGCATTGTTTTGCAAGAACGTGTGTTTGATCCACTGCTAGACTTTAAGCCAATCAAAATCACTTCTGGAACATAGTGCCTAACATTTGCCTTTAAACAACATAAAAGTTAGGGTCTAAGCTCTCTCCTTGACTATATTTTGCAGGATTTGGTCTGGTCCATGACATATTTTAGTTTTGTTGTTTGGACAGCATACTGTCCATTTAACTGCAGGGCAATGTTTTTAATAATCCCCGCCCATGCCCCCACCTTGAATATTGTCATTTCAACCATTTGAAAAAAGGTGCTTTTTTTTGCTCCCAAAAAGGCAGAAATAATTAATTGCCAAAACAGCAAAGCAGAAGCATGAAAGCAATTGAAATTCACAGCTCAGCCAATAGGGATAAAATGAAGGTCCTTGGGGGAAGCGATGGCCTTGTGGTATTACTGTTAATCTAGAGACCCATGTAATGTTCTGAGGATAACAGTATGGAGCTGGAGGAACACAGCAGGCCAGGCAGCAGAGGAGCAGGAAAGTTCCCAACCAGAAACATCAATTTTCCTGCTCCTCTGATGCTGCCTGGCCTGCTGTGTTCCTCCAGCTCCACACCTATGTTATCTCTGACTCCAGCATCTGCAGTTCTTGCTATCTCTTAATGTCCTGGGGACTTGGGTTCAAATCCCATCTTGACAGATGGTGGAATTTGAATTCAATAGAAATCTGGAATTAAAAAACAAAAAAAAAAAAAAGTCTAATAATAACCACAATTCCATTGTTGATTGTCAGAAAAACCCATCTGGTTCACTAATGTCCTTCAGGGGAGGAAATCTGCCATCCTTACCTGGTTTGGTCTACGTGTGACTCCAGACCCATAGCAATCTGGTTGACTCTTAACTGCCCTCTGGGCAACTGGGGACAGGCAATAATTGCTGGCCCAGCCAGCAACACCCTCATCCCATGAATATGTTTTTTAAAAGTTAATAATTTGGATAGGTGATCAGAAAGAATGTTGTATGCTCACCATTAACTTGTCTTTTCTCTTTGCAGATGCAAACTAATTTGTTTGCAGCATTTTTCAAAATGATAAAAATAGGTTCTGTGGTTAGTCGCGATGAATTAGAATCTAATCAATTGGTATAGAGTGGAACTATGGAGTGTGATACCACAGCATAGGATGAGTAGAAAGGGAGGCTGGAAAAGTCTGGATTAACATTTACGACTGGAGAAACAATAGACAAAAAAAATCCTTACTGGAGATCTAAACAGTACATACAGAAGTGTTTCATAAAGTGAGGCTAATTTCCAGAAAAAGTTACTTGACTTAGTACTCACCGCCACATCGTCTGCATTGGTCTGTCTGAAAGGGGAAGAGAATATCTCTACTCTTGCAAAACTCACAGAAGAAGCCCTTGGCCAGACACAACTATATAATTTAAAAAAAAAACGACATTTAAAAAGGCAGCACCTTCACATTAACGATGTTTGATTCAATCTAGTCCCTCGTTGAACCACTAGATGATAGGCAAATTACAAGGAATTCTAAATCTTAAATATGTGCTGAATTTCAACAACATAACAAGTAGCATTGGTACTAGTCTTTAGAATTTGTGGGGTCAGCGTTTCCTTATTACTATTTAGATTTTACGAGCCAGCATTTCTCCACTATTATTTAATACATTTTGTGGATGTGGATAAAGGAAGGAGACTAAAACGTGTTTCTGAAGTCTAAATTCCGTTGTATCGTTCAATATAATATATTGGCCATGATCTCCCAAACCTCTTTCAACTCACTGATAATGGCAGAGGCTTGATGAATGTTACACCCTCTATTGCAGGTGGTGTGCAAGGATAAGCCCAACGTGTATAGGCAAACAATCAAATTTAACCACGGTGGTGGGAGTCTTTTAGAAACAATGAATTTGAGACAATGACAGTCCTGTAGGAAATGATGGAATAATTAAGGAAAACCAGCATAGCATTGCCTGTGTTCACCCAGCTTGTGTGAGCTTTTCAATGAGGGTAATGCAGTTGAAGTGGACTTCCTGAAGACATTTGCTAAAGTGGTACAGAACAGGCTTATCAGCAAATTTTGAGCCTTTAAGAGAGACACTAGCAGCCTGGATACATAGTCGGTTGCGAGACAAAAACTAACATGGTGACAAGCTGTTTTACAGACTGGATGCAGGTATAGAATGGGGATCCCCAGGGCTTGTTTTTGTTTTTCAAACGTTCCTTCACAGGATGTGGGTGTCAGTGGTTTTTGTTGCCCATCCCTAATTGCCCACAGGACAAGTAAGGCTCAACCACCTGGCTGAGGAGAGGGGTGTTGGTGGTGCTGGTGGTGGAGGGCAGTGGTAAAGGAGTGAGGGAATAGATGGAGACAGAGCTCAAAAGGGAAAAGAGATAGGCAGAAAATCCCAAGAATATCACCTGGATATATGGATTAATAGACCAGCAATAATACCACTAGGCCATCGCCTCCCCAAGCATTTGCTACAGTGCATCATGTAGATTGATGCCTTGTAGCAACATAGTGTGCATAATGGAGAAGGGAGTAAAAGTGGATGGGTTGCCAATCAAGAAGGCTTCTTTGTCAAGTTGGTATGCTGAACATCAAAGTGTTGCTGGAGCTGCATTCATCCAGGCAAATGGAGAGTACCATCGCATTACTGACTTAAGACCATAAGATATAGGAGCAGAAGGAGGTCATTCGGCCAATTGGGTCTGCTCCACCATTTGAACATGGCTGACATATTTCTCAACCCTAGTCTCCTGCCTTCTTCCCATAACCATTTATCCTCTTACTGACCAAGGCTTGTGCTTTGTAGATGGTGGACTGGCTTTGGAAAGTCAGGATGTCAGTTACTCACTGAAGAATTACAAACTTCTGAGCTGCTCTTACAGCCTCTGTATAGACATTGCTGGTCAGGTTCAGCTTTGGGTCAATGGTAACCCCCAGGATGTTGATAGTGACAGAACCAATAATGGTCATGTTATTGTAAGTCAAAGGATGATAGTTTGTTGCTGACTTTTTCAAGAGATGGACATGTCCAAATATTACATTTCATGATTAACACTAATGACTTGTCTGAACAGGGCACAATTTTAAAATTTGCACATGAACAAACTGGGAAGAAATGTGAATGAATCTAGAACCCCATGAAGACAGGAGATTGTTGGAATGTGTGGAAGTAATCTATTTTGAAAAGGAGTAGCATCTGCCGAGGGTGCGGGGTACTTGTGAACAAATTATTAAAGGAGGCAAGATATGTTCAGAGCAGTCAATAAAACAGAGGACTCTGGGATTTTGGTGATGTTAAAACGGTCACAATTCTATACAAGGGCAAACTCACGTTAGCTACATTGTATAACTCAAAAACAAATATTTTACAGGATGAAAGTGACTCTTTTTCATTAAATAGGAAGGAATTAAACCATATTCCCTCTCACAGGTGATATACTTACTTTTTGAATCATTTAAAAAAATCCTTCGATGTTGCTGATTTGAACCTCAAGTTTCTATTTTAGACATCAAACTAGAGTTGTGCATTAACTTTAATATATTTAGTTTTAGCTCATTCAAGTGTTTTTAAAATGAAGAATGCTGTCCAAATTGTGGGAACACATTTTCCTATAGGAAATGGAGATCCCTTTGCACAAAAAAACAAATCTGCACAACTTCTTGCACAACTGTAGGACATCCACATGCTCTTCATGATCAATGCATAACCTTGAAAAATGCAGTCACTGTTTTAAAAGGTAACCATAACAACTAAAGTCTGCACTATACAACACCAGCAATATGAAGTGACTAGGTCCTAGAGTCATACAGCACAGAAACAGACCCTTCAGTCCAAGCTGACCGTAATCCCAAACTAAACAAATAGTCCCACCTGCCTGCACTTGTCCCATACCCCTACAAACATTTCTTCTTATCCAAGAGTCTTTTAAACGTTGTTACACCAGCATCTACCACTTCCTCTGGAAGTTCATTCCACACACAAACTACGCTGTAAAAAAATTGCCCTTTTTTTTTCTAAAAAAAAAAAGAGTCTTTCTCCTCTCACCTTAAAAATATGTCCCCTAGTCTCAAAATCCCCCACCATGGGGAAAAGACACCTTCCATTCACCTTATCTATATCCCTCATGATTTTATAAACTTCTATAAGGTCACCTCTCAACCTCCTACACTCCAGTGAAAAAGTCCCAGCCTCTCCCTATAACTCAAACCCTCCATTCCTGGTAAATCTCTTCTGAACCCTCTCCAGCTTAATAATACGTTTCCAAGAACAGGGCAACCAGAACTGGACACAGTACGCCAGAAGAGACCTCACCAACATCCTGTACAATTTTAGCTTGTTGCCCCCAACTCCTTTAGTCCATGGTCTGAGCAATGAAAGGAAGTGTGCCAAATGCTTTCTTAACCATCTTATCTATTGATCCAATAGGTCTCTGTTCTGCAACACTACCCAAGTCCCTGCTTTTAAATTGTACAAGTCCTGCCCTTGTTTCTTTAACAAAAATGCAATGCAATGCATTTATCCAAATTAAACTCCACCTGCCACTCTTCAGCCCATTGGCTCAATTGATCAAGATCCCTTTGTAATCATAGAGATAACCTTGTTCACTGTCCAGTATACCACCAATTTTACCACTCATTAACCATGCCTTCGATATTCTCATCCAAGTCAGTTATTTAAAATGACAAACAAATATGGACCTGGCACCTGATCCCTATTGAACACTCGCTGGTCACAGGTCTCCAATCTAAAAAAACAATTCTCCTCAGATACCAAAGTGATATCCTCTTAAAAACAAATTAAAACCTATGAAGACAACCTATTTCCATCCCCACTCCACCCCCCAAAGTACTCCCGGTTGGTAGTGTACTGTTTCAATTCTGCACCTTACTAGCAGTTTACATTCTCTCCACTCCTCTGGAGTGGGGTTTGACACCCAACGATCATCTCGGAGCACTACCTCAGGGTTAAAATTTAAAAATCCCAGCCTCCCAGAGGGAGGCTTTTACCTCACAACTTTCCACGTGAGCGAGGACATTCTTGAGGGCATCTTTCAGGCCTGAAACCAGCAGACCTTGCTTCACCATCAGCAGATCATTCAATGAATAAAGGTGTAGCTCCTCAGTCAGGTGGGAACGTATCCGACAGAACTCGATCAGGGCGCTGTCAGATTGAGACAGGAATAGACCAATGTTAGAAACAGATGTCACTAAATGCTGCATCTTAATTAGCAGCAACAGTATCAAATCCCTCAGACAACAGCCTTGAAACAACCCACTGCATCTACCAAGGCACTGCACATTATACATTTGGAAACATTTTTTAAAAAAACAAGAAAAGAGCAAATAATTTCCAGCAACACCTTTTGCAAATATTCGGCTTGAATTCTCACGGCTAGAAATTTGGAAAATCTTAGTTTCTCCAATAGGTCAGCTTTGACTTTAGTCTTTAAAAAAAAAAGTCAGCGTGGAAGCAAGGAACTAAAAGATAGGGATAACAAAGTGTAGAGCTGGATGAACACAGCAGGCCAAGCAGCATCAGAGGAGGAGGAAGGCTGACGTTTCGGGCCGAGACCCTTC